TCAATAACCATAAAGGCCAGCAGCAAATATATTTACTGTTTTTACAATAGGAAAATGACATGCTATTCATACTTTACAATGTTTCTCTGGTCCATAAAGAGCTTTCATCTAGCTACCAAGCTCCAAAAACCTTTAATTTCACATAGAATAGCTTCAGGTAAAATAAAGGAAAAAAAGCTAGCCCATTTCTTCAGGAAAGATCACATCCAATTTGGTTATATCTACTGGAATCTTCTACATTGTACCTGCTGCAATAGGCAAATGAACATTTCATCACTGGTGCATCACAGCCAGGTGAGAAGAAATAACCAAGTAGTGTCATCAGACATCAGGAAAGGATCTTCGGAAATGGTTTAATCTACCCTAACGCTTCTGTATACCACTTTTACTTAAACCAATTGGGTTTGGTTAATATGATACATAAATTTATCCTGAAACTAAGATTTCATGTGTTAAACCAGGGACCAAAACTGAATTGTAGTGAGATAGGAGTTTCAAGTAGTAATATTTTCCACGTATGCAATCCATAAAGAATCCATGATCAAGTCTTTCCTGGTAAGCTTTTTTTTTTAGATATCTTCCCTCTACTCCAGAGAAGAGATGCTTTCACAAACTATGGCTGGTTGGTATTGAGCTGTGCAGGATGTGACCTGCAGCTAGTACTCAACATTTTACCCCCACACTGGATCCACTATGAATGTGTAAGCTTAGCTCCAAACCACAGCTTCTTCATTTGTAAAGCGCAGAAGTCGAATCTAATGTTCTCTCTTCCTCTGTGATGTTAAGATTATGATTTCTACGAGTATCACTTTGCAGCCACTTGAGAAATAGCAGCAGACTGATTCATTTTCTGCATCACCCACAGAGCAAACTTTTGGAGCAAATAAAGTCCAAACAATAATTAGTTTTATAAACAGAAGTGACAACAAATTAACCAATAAAGTTCCTTGACTCACTTTACAGAAAGAGATAAGCTTTGCTGGTATATCTACATTTTATAAATATCATCACCAGGGTAATTGGGAGAGTTAGACCCAATGGGATATAATAAAATATAACATTGATGTACTTTTCCGTATTATATAATGAAAAATTATTCAATTAAACTTTAATAGAATACTATGTAGTAACATCAAAATATTTGGTGACATAAGACAGTTTTTAAAAAAATAAACTTTGAAACATCATAATTCCAGTGAAATTTCCCAAACTGTCATCATCAGGAAGTACAGGAAAAGGCACTTTTACAGAACAGTCGTCTATAACAAAAGAAACAAGATATCCAGACATTAAGCACAACAACATATCTAAAATAACACAAAAAGGATTAAAAATATGAAAACCTATTAAGATTAATTGGTTCTATGTAATTTAATAAGTTGACTAATGCAGAATTAAAAAGCTCATTATTACTAGAGTCAATAGGGTCAGTACTTACTAAATGAGATTAGAAGAAGGGCCCACATTAAAACCAAAGTTAATCACTTGTTTCCACTCTCCACACACATACACTCACCCTTCTCTTCCCTCTCCAATTCTGATTTTATGGTAATAAACGACATTTTACCCTATACGAGAGGAGTGTCCTGTTGAAAAAAAGTATTTTAATTCTTTCACTATATTTTTAGTATTTTTGGAAACAAATTAAATTGCTTGATTTCCCTCTCAATACATTTTTGAAAACTTTCATTATAGTCTCTAGCTGCTCAATGATATTACCAAGAGAAAGTTCTCAGATGAGTTATTTCATTCTGAGTCTTCTGGGATGGAAAAGAAAGAGACATGATAGAAAATTATTAGAAAAAGTGTTTCTAGAAGTCTTGAGCTATTACTTGAAATATAGAACTCTATTCTCTCCATCTGACTGGAGAATGGCTGATCGCTTTGTCTTGAATGCGTGATATTACTGTCAAATCCAAAGGAGGTAGGAGAAAATTAAATATATTTCAGATCAGGATAGCCAGTTCTGGTCTAGACTTCAAATTGGTGAACATTTTTCCAGCCCTCCCATCCTCCTCTCCTGTGGTTGCATTTTCCATTCTCTTACGTGTACAGTTTTCTTCCCCTACATTACAGTGGCCCAATCTTGGCAGATTATTGTGCAAGCAAAAAGGACACAGTCTCAAACTGTTCTAATCAAATCTTCCGCGTCTACAACAGAAATTTAATTATTGCTAACGGCAATTAACAGTCAATTTCCCCTGTGTCTATCATTTCTCTTTCCACTCTGCCTTTCTCCTTTTGGAAATCTCAAGAAACTTCTCCTAAATATCATTGTAGATAATATATTAACTTCTTAGATTCCTATAGGTATTTTTTAATGACCTCATCAAGTTATCTCATATATTTGTAACTTTCTCATTTGATCCAATGATTTTTTCCCTAAACAAAAGCTTTCTTTCCACTCATTGGAAGTAGACAATTAAATAACACTAACATTGGGGAGCGATTTTAAGGAGTTCAGAGAACGTTCTGAGAAACTTAGAAGAAAAACTTCACAGAAATTTCAAGTAAACAAGAAACTTCAAATCCCAGCAGCACTCCAGGGGGAAAAAATACATCTCAAATCGCTATGGAATAACAACAACAGAAAAGGCCAATATGTGGTGAAGTGGCAGATGGAATAAAAGCCAACTCAAAGGCCTCTCTGCTTGCATCCTCCAGGAAGACCACCCAAAATGACACAGTGAGAAGGTTCAAGTCCTGGTACACGTGCACCTTTCTCTACTGCAAAACTCAGCGTAACGGAGTTAGCACAAATGCATTGCCACCTCAGCTTGCTCTCTTCCTACAGTGTGTGGCGGCTCCAGTGCTTAAGCCAAGGTTTCTAGCAGTGCTCCTTCGGTAAACTAAGTTGAGTTTTAAATAGTTGGAAGCAAATTCTATAATATTGAAAATAATATTTAAATTAGGTAATCATATTCCAAAGGTATATACAAATGAATTGGAATTAATATACTTTTGTGCGTGTGTGTGAGGAAGATCAGCCCTGAGCTAATATCCGATGCCAATCCCCCTCTTTTTGCTGAGGAAGATTGGCCCTGGGCCAACATCTGTGCCCGTCTTCCTCTACTTTATGTGGGACGCCGCCACAGCATGGCTCTACAAGCAGTGCGTCGGTCCGAGCCCGGGATCCAAACCTGCAGACCCCAGGCCGCAGAAGCGGAGCATACAAACTTAACTGCTACGCCACCAGGCTGGCCCTGGAATTATTATACTTTTTAAATTATCCACAGAAACCCAGGTACTTTCTTGTAAGGAAAGAATAACCAAGACTTAGGTGCATTTCCTTTCTTTGTACTGGATATTTATACTATGTCAAAACTGTTGTCACTGAGGTGAAAATATCAATGAAAAGAGTCACTGAGTCCACAAATCTCAACTTTTTAGAAAGTGATTTTTAAAAATACCAAGTTGATCGTGAGCAAATAACAGATGTAATTTTCATTTATAGTGTATTTTATGTTCTTGTACTCAATAACAGTGGGCCAGGCTGGAGAAACAATGTCAAAAAAGAAAGACGTGGCCTCTACCTCCACTGGTTTCAGAGTGTCGTGCTGCAACCCGAGTTAAAACTATACCTTGATTTATAAAGAGAATCAATTATGCAATTACTTTCTATAGCAAGACCTCTTAATAACTGACATTTCTATAGCCTATTGTCTAACTGCCACTAACTAGTCTTGCGATCTTGGTTAAATCACTTAACTTGGGGGCCTTACATTCCTACAACGGAAAGTAAATGGGGTTAGCTACAAGTTCACTGCAGTCTTTTTTGGCTCTCACAATCTAAATTTTTTGATGTTTTCCATGCATTACCTCTGTTTTAGTCTGTTCAGGTTGCTATAACAAAATACCACAGACTGGGTAGCTTATAAACAACAGAAATTTATTTCCTACAGTTCCAGAGGCTGGAGGTCTGAGATTAGAGTGCGAGCATGGTCAGATAAGGGCCCTCTTCTGAGTTGCAGACTTCTTATTGTTGCCTCACATGGTGAGGCTCTCTGGAGCCTCTTTCATAAAGGCATTAATCTGATTCATGGGGGCTCTGCCCACTTGACCTAACCACTCTCCTATTCCCCCACCTCCTAATATCATCACCTATGGGCAATTAGATTTTCAACATATGCATTTGGCGGGGACATAAACATTCAGACCACAGCAACCTCCCTTAATCTTCATGATCATCTGCAGTGAGAGAGGTAGAGAATGTGATCTGTGGAAGATAGACTCGCTGGAGAAATGCCAAGGGGGATGAGAAACCTCATCTCCAGACTCCAGTTCAGTGCCTGAGTGCTCACGTGACACAGGACATGTGAGCATAGGACAACATGGGGACAGGCTTGCTGCTTGCTAGCTTTGTGACCTGGACAAGTTATTTCATACCTCTGAGTTCCGGTTTCCCTAACTGTAAAGCTGGAACACAACCTCACACATCCCTAGGATGTTTAGCATAAAATAAAATCTTTATAGCTATATTTTATCCTGTAATAAAGAAATTAGGCCATACATAATCACGTTATAACAACAATTTTAACAGACTATCCAATTCTCCATCTGTCAATTTGCACCTTGTCTAGGATCCAAGGTTTTCTTATAACTGACTCTTGAATGTGCCGCATCCATGTCTCAGCAGAATAGGGTTGCAGCTTTCCTCCAGGACCAAAACTAGAGAATCAGGTCTTCTAACTATGTCCAATGAAGCAGGGAATTGGCCCTACTTAGGAAATTTTTTAACACTTCTCCATAGTTCGTCAATAGAACAAAACAAAAACTGTGTCATCTTTTCTAAACATGGCAAATCTGATGATATTGGCAACCTTTATTATTATAACTACTAAAAATTAATGATCAGTTAATTATTGATTATACATTAGCCAAGATGTGTCTCTATTTAACTCTGAAGCTCTATCTTGTTAAAACTTTCTCCTAGTTCTGTTCAAATCCAAGAGAGGGTAAGTGTTGTTACTGCAGAAGATTTAAAAAAGGCTTATACAACATATTTGTTATCAATGCTTTATTGTGGAAAACAAAATTGAAATTCTCTGGCACATAAAACAATTATTTCTACAAAAGGAAAGCCTACAAATCTTGATAATTTATACAAATAACAGTTTCTCAAAAAATAAAATTTTAATTTAGTAAACTTGTCTTGTGCTCTATATTTTTAGCACTGTCTGCAATAATTCACCATAAATCCCTGAGCAGAGACATTTTTGACGATGTTCTTTAGCGCCCCCAGCCCTCCCCACCCCGAGTTGGTCAGTTACTAAGCCCAGCCCTGTAGTAAAAGATGTCAGGGACATTTCGTTATTAAAGATCCATGCATTTTATGACACAGGCCCAATTATTAATGCTACTTGGGAACTGGGTCAACATGAAGTGCCTCTACTGTGCAATCAGTGAACCTATTAAGAACCAAGTGTTTGAAAGGAAGAACAATAACAATAAAGACATAAAATGTTAAGACTAGGAAGTCATCATAGGTCAATAACTATTTAAATAAATAAAAATGTTAGATATTGAATTCATCTCTATATCCTTATATTAAATTCCTTATTTATTTTTGCAATTGCCAATGCACTAGAAGATGAAAAATACACGTCAACCCATGTTTTTGGTTTGACCATGGGTTTGTTGTTGTTAAATGTTAAATATCATACTGCAAACACAGTGATTTAGTTATAATTTAACTTTTGGCCCTTCAGTGAAATGTTTACAAAATAATATACATATTAGGAAGACCTTCTTATTAATGCCATCAACAAATCTCTCTCACTACATTTGCCCTTCTGACAAAAACACTAATGACATAGGAACACTACTTTAAATTTTTTATCCCGCTGTATTCAGATATGCAGCAAAACATAAAATATGGAGAAAATATTATACGATGTATTTGCACATCCAGCTTCCCTTTAACGGGGACGCTGATCATATATACATGGAGTGTGAAAGGAAAGGAGAAAAAGCTAATTTTCAGTTTCAAAGAACTGGCTTAACGAATCAAGTTTTGTTTTGTTATTTTGCTATGGCAGAATAATAAATAAATAAATATGTAGAATATTGTATAGCTACTTTCTCTAAGAAGTTGAGAGCCAACTGCTGTTTTACAAAGTTAATATTTAGTAGCAAAGTTTGACTGCAAGTCAAAAAAATCTTCAATAAATGTTTTTCTCTACTTCATTTAGTCTGTTACTCGTGAAATGATCATTGAAGTGGTTACTAACAAGTAATGAAATAAAATACCAAATTTGCTAGTGAAAAATGGTTTTCAACTGTGAAAAGCACTTGGCAGAAGATCTAGAAACACACAGGCTAATGTTACACGCTATTGCAGCTTAAAATAATTCATTTTTGATGTCTTTTGGGAAGAGCAAAAAAACTTATCAGCATTGCTGTTTTGGTATCTATCAGAAAATGATTAGCATTTCACACCAACAGTTTCCAAAATATAAAGTCATTGGCAACCATCATTATACACTCCTTTGCGCAGATTTGACTTTTTTGAACAGTAACATCTGGGAAGCACAAGACACCTTCCCTTTTGTCTCACAGCTGCTGGTTAGTTATTAGAACTGGACCACTTTTAAGCTTCTTTTTGATTTAATCCTTACATATGTATGCCCATTAACCAGGAACAGCCATTTTAAAAGGAAATTTCAAAAGCCTAAGAACTAATACAATGAATTTTCCTAGGCAGTTTTGGTGGAAAATGTTGGTGACATTAAAATAAAAAATGCCTGCCTGACACATCTAAGGCCTCCCCAGCCCCTCCTACAACACCAGTGTGAAACATGGTTAGCACTACTCTGCATATCTGCTCCAGAACATGAAAAGCAAATGATGCTCAAAAGAGTGAAGACTGACATAACCAAATCATAAAACGTTACGTGCACTAGTCAGGAAACAACTGTCGATTCTGAAAAATCCTGACACAGTATTAAAAAAATTGTTCTTTCTAAGTTTCACAAATTGAGAAGCAGGCTGTCCGAAAGAGGGAAGACAGCAGCGTCAGGACAACGGCCAGCCCGCTGGGATTCACACCACACTCCCATCACTCCCCATGAACACCTGACCTTAATAGTTTACCATGGCTGAACAGACACTCTGACTTCCTCTCACAGTGTTTAAGGAACAATATAATTTCTAAATTAGCTTTCAAAAACGAACAAAATTTGTAACTTAGCCCCCTCCCCCCTTAAGAATGCCAAAAGATTCCATTTTAAGTGCTCTGGTTTACAGTCTATGGGTAACAATTACATCCTTCAGGAGGTTTCCAATGTTCCCCTTTTTGGTGTTAACGGCTGTGCCAACAGCAAAGTGGATACTCCCAGAAGTGGCAGTGACCTCTGCCTTGGTCTTGAAGTCCAGACTAGCTCGTGTCATAGCACTGCTGGGAAGTTCTGTTCGTTGATGAAGCCAACTTGGAAGTATGGAGGAGGAGGAGGAGGCGTTGCCCTCCTGTGTCAGGTCTTGGAAGTCTTTAAGCCTTGCTTTTCCATGATGTTCCACAGTTTGCGGAGATTGGACTGCGTGATGACGTCATCCGGCTTGAGCTGCAGCGCCCGCAGGTAGTTGGCCTCCGCCTTCTGGAGTCGGCCATTAAGGTGCAGAATGGCCCCCAGGTTCATCAGAGCCGCCGGATACTGGAACCAGAGAGAGGAAGGAAAACGATTAAGAGGCCATTACAAGCTTTCCTTCATGGAAGACAAAAATCTTCATCCACTTATGCAAATGATTCCCTTATGTCTGCAGGCATTTTATGGAAACAATTTAGCAATTTATACAAATAGACAAAGATAACTAGGAAGGAAAAAAGTTTTCAAACAGCTGCTGTGTACTTTGTGCTTTAAATAAGGCAGGCAGCTAGAGAAATAGTATTCTTCTTTAACGAGAAAGCATAGGTTACATACGAAGACCTAGTAACTTAGTCAGACTGTACTTTTGAGAGAAAAGTTAAAAGTGATACAATGTCAGGTGGAAAGTATTAAACTTTTTTTTTCAACTCAATGCCAAGAATTAAAAATTAAGTGGGAAAAGTTGACAAATCTATGTCTACCCACTCTTTTCTTCCTCTCCTTAGCAATATTCCAGGCCATTTATGCAAACATAAATAAATAAAATAGGGCCGGCCCTGTGGCTTAGCGGTTAAGTGCCCGCGCTCGGCTGCTGGTGGCCCGGGTTCGGATCCCGGGCGCGCACCAACGCACC